GTGCGTTAATTATTTAGATAAATCGTACCTCACATCGTAAATATTCCTATAAATTGTTCGTTCTACGTCCGGACGCTATTTGAATTCCATTAATTTGTGAATGTAGCGCTAATTTCTCGAATTGTCCATTTGCGAATGTGCGTGTTTGTTACGCTCGTATGTATATACGGATTACAACAACATGGACAATAAGTTTTGTAGTAAACCGAATTTCATTCTCACGCGTGAGAGAAGAGATTTTCTCTCTCTCTCTCTCTCTCTTTCTCTCTCTCTTTTATTCTCTCTTTCTCTCTTTCTCTCGTTGTGTACTTTACAACACGATGAATTTGGAGAATTTCCAAATTTGTGTCGGACCACGCCAAAAACTTATTCGTTTTTCTTCTATCCTGTTGTCTGTTCAAGATTATACTGATTACATTGATTAAATGAGTTTTTATTTATCATTTTTACATGCAACTGTAGCTTGGTTATTGATTATTGGTTTTGCAAATATACATATAATTATTTTATCTACTGGAAATAAAATATTCAAGATTAGAGAATAAAATATCCAAGATTCGATAAATCTATTATAGATAACTTGATAATTTATTTTGTTGAAACAAAAAAAAAAAAGAGAAAACAAAAAAATATTACTTTATATCTGTTATAACTTATTGATTCTTTGATTTTTTTTTATCGATACCACTTATAAAATAAAAAATTGTAAAAATAATAATATGTTTCAGAGATAACGTAAATTTGATATATCACTCAAGATGTATCCCATCATTTGTAACTTAAAATCTAGTGTTCTTTTTAAAATATACATATAATATAAAAAAAAAGAAAAATTATTTCATCTACACAACACACAACGTATAAAATATTGATTTTCTTTTATTAATTTTTTTACTTATTTATCCTTGAGTATGGGTATCATACAACAAATAAGATAGTAGAAATAAAAAACAAAGCAAAAATCGGAGCAAAAAAACAATATAGTTAAAGTTCAGCGTATAACGAATGAAAAGTTTTGTTATATATCGTTGAAATTTTAGAAAAGAGGGAAGAATAAAAGAACGTTTCGTAGTGATATCGACGTGACATATAAAACCGTAGTGGAAGTTACATAGCTAGTGGCTACGTTTGGACTCAGTCCAGGGAACATTTCGCGAAGTTACATCCCGATTTGCTCGTAGTACAGATGCTAGACGAGAGAAACCACGACGAAATTCTTTCAATCTCTTTCTCTCTCTCTCTCTCTCACTCTCTCCTCCCCCCCTTTCTCTTTATCTTTCTTTTTCTTTTCTATTGTAGAGAGTGGGCATTGAACGCAGCGCGTCTCAACGAGCACTAAAAGCTTGCCTCGGCGCCATGAGGTCGTTCGTCCTTCATCGATCTAATATTTGTCTATCTATCTATCTTTATTTTTTTCTCTCTCCCTCTCTCTCTTTCTCTCTCTTTTATTCCTATCATTAATTTTTCGAATATTCGCATATAGATTGAAATATTTGTTCCCTAATAGGGGTATACTTTCGTCTCTCATATTTTTTTTCTTTCGTTTTAATTTTTAATTAAAAAAATTTTAATTCGTTCACATATTTTCTTGTATTATGTTTGTTCGAGATTTAAAAAGAAAGAAAATCGATCGAACTTTTTTGTTCGGTTCCTTTATTATCTCGCAATATTATTGAAAATATCATTTTCATGATTAACATCCATCGATCTTATGATCGTTGCAAGGAATCACGAAGTTTCGTACAAACAATATAATTGAAAAAGAAAATATTTATTTCATCTTTCACAACGTTCGTATTTATTTTTTTTATTTTGTTAGACTTATCTCGGAAAAAATTATTGATCGATATTATAAATAACGTTGGATATACCGGTAGTTCGAAAAATCTTTGGAATCATTTCGAGATTAGTATACTATTTATAAAAGTCGTACAATGTACGACAGGAATAGGAAACGAGAGAAGGTGATAAAGGACGGCTGAGGAAGTTATTATGAAAAGTATTCGTAGTAGGATGCCAGAACGAGCCTTAAATTCGTGAAGGCGCCATAGAGTCAGACTCGAAAAATCCTGCGTCGTTCTTTTCCTATCTGAATCACATTTATTATACGCACATATATATACATGTATGGATATACACTACATATGTATCTATAAAAGTATATATGAAGTAGAGGAATAGTATTGTCTGACGAATTAGAAGGGCTGTCATTTTATCGCAACTAACTAAGAAATAAAAAAATAAGATAAAGAAAAAAAGATATATAAATTAAAAACAAAACAAAAAATCTAGATAAATGAAGATGATTGGATAAACTGATAAGGATAGAAAAAAGAAAAATAAAAAAGATTTGAATTTTTGCAGTTACGCGACGCGACGCGAGAAAATTTTTTCGATGCTCTTGAACGGGGCGTGCTTGTTAATGGCGCGGTCTCGATCAGCATTGTGTCCATCCATCGGTGTATTTTCCTCGCGTTTTACTACCCGTGTGTTGTATCACGAGAATGAGAAAGAAGGGTGGGAAGGAGATGGGTAGTTTGAGTTGGTGTTCCAACGAGGAGTACTGGATTCGTTGTACAACGTGAGTCATTTTCCGAGAGAATGGATCTCTCTTTTTCTCTCTTTCTCTTTCTAGAGTTGCTGAGTGCTCTCGTCAACTATATACTTTCCCTATATCCCACCAAAACTCTCTCCCTCCCTTTTTCTTTCCTCTCTCTCTCTCTCTCTCTCTCTTTCTTTCTATGTTCTATCTCGGTACGGCTGACATGAGTGTCTATTTTCAACTACTCTCCATCCTAAACCACGGAAAACCGCGTCCCGTTTTCCTGAAGACTTGGAAGGTAGTGAAACGTTCGGAGACTGGATGAAACATAAAGACTCAGGAAACATAAAGTGGAAGATACAGAGACAGTTAGAGAGAAAGAGAAAGATAAAGAGAGAGAGGGTCGTTTGACGAGTAAATTGTCTTGTTTGATGTCAATGTCTGATACGACCTGAAATGATCCTTCAAAGAGAAACTAAGAAACTTTACCCCTAAGCTTCTATGAAGATTATGAAGAGAAAAAGAGAGTTAGGTTTGATACTCAACTTTATTCTAAGGACCTTATATAAACTCCCTGAAAAATAAATGTTTTTTTTTCCGAGTAGGGGAGCATTTATTTATTTGAAAACTCGAACGCGTGTCGTCTAGCAACTGTCGAGTGCACGCGAGCCCCACACTGCATCGTACATTCTACGATTTCAAAAGCTGCATTTTTCTACTATATATATACTTCTTTCTTCTTTTTATTTCTTTTTTTTTAAACAACACGACGTCGCGAATAGGTATCTCTTTGAAACTAATCTACCATCTTGATTTCATCTTCCCCTTTTTCTTTTCTATGGGATTACTTTGTTTTTTTCTTTTTTAGATACGTTTTACTCTGATTTATATTATACACGATATCTCTCTCTCTCTCTCTCTCTCTCTTTTTTTTTTCTTTTTCTCTCTTTGTCGTTTATGGTGGAAACGTATGAATGTTGGAATGCACGAGCCTATTCGTCGTCGTTGTTACGTAAAACATCACTCGTCACGTCAACCAAAATATCGGATAGACCGATCCACCTTGGTAACGTGTGTGATATAAGTTCAACTAAATATATCATACTGGTTATTCTTTTTGAATTACACGAAGTTTCTACCACACGGTATCCTTCTAACGTCTTTGGAGAATTAGGTAAATCTCTGTAAAACATGGAACGTGATAAGAGTTTTTAAGTGCAAGTACGATCTAACTCCATATTTTTTGATTTTACCATATGTGTCGTGTTATGATATCAGAATTTTAAACGTCATTTATTCATTTAATATTAAACATATTTTAACACATGTTTTTTATTCGTTATTTGCAGTTTAAAAAATTGGAATGAAACTTTTAATAAGATATTTGATTTATTTGTGGCGTTTAATATTTTTCGAATATTTTTTATGAACGTTTAGTAAAATCAATAAGATCGGCGTATTTAAAATATATTCATTATTGCATTTTTATTTCGTATAAGACGAATAATTTTCGAATTTAAATTAGTTTCGTTAAACGAATTCGCATTGTATCATCCGTACGGTATTAATAATTGTCCTATTAGATTTTTATTTCGTACAAGACGAATTTACATGAGACGGCAGTTTTTTTTGTTAAGAACTTAACGACCTTGTTACAAAAGAATAATCTGTACATTTATACGTCTCCTTGATGTTAACCTTTCCTTTTTGTAATAACAAAGAAAGCTTCCCCCTTTCCGCCCATCTTTCTCTTTTCTAAAAACAGAACCTTTGAAATGTTTTTTAACAAAGAAAAAAGTCGAACTCGAAGACTCTCGTAGAAATCTCGAGGAAGCCCGTTTAAACCGCTTTCTACACTTGACACTCTTCACCTGCAAATCGTTCGAACGTGTCACGAGAGCTTTCCTTGTTCCACGGTAGAGTACGTAAGACAACAGGAAATTACAGATATAAACCATCGGTCAAAATTATTTAACCAACTTATAAAATAATAGAAAGCTTGACTAAATAAATGATTTAGGTTTTTTTTTTAAACATTTTTATAAGAAATCAATCGATTGTTCGTTGAAAAAATTCGTAATTACTTTCGATACGAATGTGTACGTCCATCGAAAGAATTTCATTCGTTCTAAACGTATTTTCGATATATCGATTATACATTTTTCTGATTACGTCACTAAGGAATCCAAGAGTATGAGAAAAATTTTGTTCATTTTGTCATGAATCGTTTTTAATAAAATCGATTTAATTTTGTAGTTTTGTCAAGAAAATAAACAACTGTCAATGAAATTAATTTATATGTATTCTGAAAATTAGTCAATTGTTATTTTACATGATCAAATAATATTGACCGGTAGTGTATATATACGTAAGTATATACATAAATTTTGATTCTTGGAACGCTCGATTAAATGGCAATCAAGATTGGTATGTTCTTGTAAGATCGAACTATACAAACCTCGCTCCATTGATCTGCCTCCCACATTGGACAAGAGATAATGTTACAGGTCTCCTGAACTCGTGGTTTGTGGTTAATACTGCATTTATGCTCGGGTAACTGTAACAATCAGATTTACGTTCATTGTTTTATTTCAATTTTAAATTAAAACAAAAATTACAATATTAGATTTATTTTTTAATTGTGTTAAAAGATGTTTAATTTGTTTTTATATAAGTAAACTTTATGTGAATATTATATTGTGAATTAGTAGTTATTTGTTAATCAAAATTGTGATATCAATTTTATAATATTCTTTACTTCTTATTTTATTTAAAAAAAAAATATATATAAAATAGGTCTTCTGCAAATGGTTTAAAAATTTGTCTCTTCCCGGTATTTCCGTGCTACATTTTATCAAGAAAGAAAAAAAAAAATGAAGTACCATACACGAATGTTATTTCTCCGTCTTCGCACTTATGCATCACCAAGGCGAATGAGATTCGCGACTTTGCATCGTGCCAGAGTCTCGGATGAAAAATTTTACGACGAATGTCGCTGAACCACGAACTAGTCCTCTAAGCTTAAACGAACCGAACGAGGTTAAGGATACGTTCGACGAATCGATGTAAGAGGATAATCATATATCTACCATTTTTTTTTTTTTTCTTTTATTATTCACGTAAAAGGAATGATAAATATTACATTTCGAAATATCGAACGATGCGTCTCGTAATAATTTTTTTCCCAACCACATTTTTTATCGATCAATTATTTGATTAATAATTTTTCAACATTCCGTAAAATAATATAATAGTCAATATTTGGATTAAATAGATTAATGCAAATACGGACAATTTATTTTATAATACGAATTGAAAATCATGTGAAAATATTGACTCGATAAAAAGCCACAGGTTAAGAAAAGAAAATATTGTTCAATATGTTTTGTACCTTGGTAGTTTCGTTGCCATTTTCTTCGGTACAAAAGACAGCCCTGGTTCTTGATCCACCACCGCAACTGGCACTGCACTTGCTCCATTCTCCGCTTATCCATCTGAAAGTAAAGGAGAAAAGAAAAAAGTAAGGAAAAATGGAAAGAAAAAAAGACTTGAACGTCGAAATATATATACTGTGTGGAGGAAGAATATTCTTCTTGTATCTATCTTTTGACATGGTGGTGGCACATTGCCACGAGTACGACTGTTACATAAAGCAGGTTGCTTGCAGTATTTGCAGTAGTAAAAGTAGTAGTAGTAGTAGACGTAGTCGTAGTAGTAACAGTTATAGTTGTAATCGTAGTAGTAATACCCATAATAGCAATAGTAGTATTTACAATTGCATAATGGTGTTAGTGTTACTAATAGTAGAAGTAGTAGTGATAGTGATAGTAATATAGTTATGGTAGTAGCGATAATGCATTTGCAAAAGCATTTCTACAAGCTTTAGCGAAAAAAATATCCGGTTCATAAAATTCACTATTCGCTCGATAAAAAAAACTAATTCGCTGGGTGGGTAGGTGGGTCACAATACATTTATCGCGAGAGAAATTACGTTGGTCTTTCGATGAGTTTTTACGCTTGTAATTCAACGTAAGTACGTACGATTCAAATCGTTGAACGTCGCGTTACAACACGAAGTCCCGAAGCCATTATCGTTTGCCTATCGTAGAGAAGAAGAAGAAGAAGAAGAAGAAGAAGAAGAAGAGGAGGAGGAAGAGGAAGAGGAAGAAGAGAAACACGCGATGGGGCTGTTTCTCGAAGGTTGCAAGTAGTAAAAGCGATATTTGCTCGAACGAAACTCGTTTTAATTCGAAAAGTGGAAGATCAATTGACTTTGATAACGATTCCTTCCCTTTATTATACTATTTTCATGAAATTTCGTGTTTTTTTTCTTCTTCTTTTGCTTTAGGTCGTTTAGATAATCGACACTTATTTGTTCAATTTATGGAAATATTTTTAAAAATAAAAATAATAGAATTATGATTGGGGGGTCTAACTAAAAGTTATTACGCTCCTTTTCTTATATATTTTTTTTTCTCTTATTGAAATTATTTAATATTTCATTAGCTAAGATAAATGAAACTCCTATGTTGCGAAATTTAAGAAAATTAGTAAAAGAAATCAACTTGATCCATTGCAATCGATTCGTTTTAATTCAGAAACATCGTTGAACCAGAATTTATATTCTTCTTTTTCTATTTTTTTCTTTTTTTTTTCTTTCATCTTTCTCCTCGTTCTACAAAAATCCTCTCAAGAGAAGATGGAACGTTCGCACCTGACGAATTTCTGAAATATTCAAAGCCGAGGTGTGAGAAATGCTAAACGAAGCTGTCTCTTGTTAGCACCGTCGCTTAGAGGAAACCCTCGACGATACGAAATATGTCGTTGAATTTACTCTTCTACGTTATGAAACGAAGATCTATATATACGTGCGATGACGATATATATATATATACAGTGTGTATACAAGAGAAAGTAAGACAAAGATAAAGAGATCAACTAATTAATCCCACTCTTTTCCCTTTAACTTTTTCATTATAATCTTTATAAGCTTGTTCTTTTTTTTTTGTATGTTAAATAAAAAGCATGAAAATTAAGAGAAACGACGCGATATAAATAATTTAAAATAACAAAAGAAAAAAAAGAAAAGAAAGAAGGGGGAATTGTAAAAGAGAAAGGATTTTTTTTTTGTTTTTCCTTGTATAATATAAACATTGTATTTATAATATTATTCTGTTCTATAGTGGTTAGAGTGGTGCAACAATACTCACTTTGTCGTGCAGGGATGCGTGTTGCACTGTACGAGGGTCTTCTCTGGTCTCTCGTCGTTCTTGCAATGGCTGTCGTTGACAACGCGATCGTCCGTACCGACAGCCTTACAAACTGGCATCGCTATTTTAAAACCTGCGAACGACAAAATACTGGATAAAAAGAAGCCGGAAATTCTTTCGTTCGTTTATAAAAGAAAGAAAAAGAAAAAGAGAGAGAGAGAGAGAGAGAGAGGGAGAGTTTACGTGCACGCGAAATCATTCTAATTCAATTGAATTTATTTATTAAATAGATTTCAATTCAACGAACTCCGAGATATCGATTTTATTTAATTTAATTTTAATCTCATCGTTCTCGTCGTATATACTAATAATCAAATAATTTATTTATCTAATGAAAATACAATTTATTCGTCGTTATTATTTTTAATTTTTTTAATCAAATGTTTTCTCACGGTTTAATATACTTTCTAGATAATTTGTTGAATTATTGAAATTAATGAAAAATAAAATGAATTGCTCGTTGGAATATATCGAGAATTTTGGATCGAACGGGACGATATTTCTAATTTAAAATTTCAATTTGATTTTAAAAAGACGGGGGGAGGGAGGGGAGGGGAAGTAAAAGATCGTTGTCGTTCGTAAAACGTCGCGAATGTTCTGATATGAAATTTTTCGTCAAAGAGAATTATCATCGTATACCTACGAAGAGGAGATAGAAGATCGTTTGGAAATAAGAAATTACTTACCTCCTCCGCAGGACTTGGAGCAAGCGGATATCGGTTCCAAGTTCCAAGAATATTTCGATTGACAGCTCGATCCATTTCCGCCACATACACCGCACGTATCCGTGTTCTTGCTACTTCCGACTCGCAAATCGCAGCCCACTTTCTGTAACACGAAAAAATATTGACGTTTTATAATAACTATTCTATGAAGAAGAAAAAAAAAATGGATAAACAAATGAGCCCAAAAAAAAAGATATTCATAAAAATATATATGTGCATATATTTTCTATTAATATTAACCCTTCTTTGCATGATTTTTTTTTTTTTTTATTATTTTTGAAGTTGCCAGCAACAACAAATAAACAGTACAAGGGTTTTGAGTACCTTTTTTTGTTGACTAAATATTATGATTGAAATTTCCATCATCATGCAAAGAAGGGTTAATACTTATGTAATTGTATTATATATATATAAAAATTAATAAATTATTATCTCTTATATTTATCTTGCAATTTGTAGAGAACAATTATATTAATTATAAGCTCGTGGTAATTACAAAAAAAATATTAATTAACGCGCTTTGCATCTCTTAAATTACTCCATTACTTGTATTATCCTACAATATTACATTTAACGTTTCTTAAATCAAAAATCGATCCGTTTCTTTTTCTCGTTTAGTTCCATTATCTCCTGTACCAAGGTAGTGGGAAGGGGGGGTAAAAAGTAGGTATTTAAAATTAGCGAAAGACGGTAGGAAAAGTTATTTCTTATAGACCGAGAAATCTATCGGCGAGGAGAATCCTTTCTCCGTTAAGAAGTTAAGAAAAATCTTCAGAATAGTAGAAAAGAAGAAAGGAAGAAAGGAAGGAAGGAAGGAAGGAAGGATTGAATGAGAAAAAGGTTGATGTCGATTCGTGACCTGGCTTGGACACTGTAGACTGATTTGTCATTCAGCTTGCATAGAGGTTTGCTCGTACCTTGAGAAAAGTACATTATTCATCTCTTATCCAGTGTGCTCAAAAGAAAGAAAGAGAACGAAAGAGAGAGAGAGAGAGAGAGAGAAAGAGAGAGAGAGAGAGAGAGAGAGAGAGAGAGAGAGAGAGAGAGATGCAAGAACGAACCATATTAGAAAGTAANAGAGAGAGAGAGAGAGAGAGAGAGAGAGAGAGAGAGAGAGAGAGATGCAAGAACGAACCATATTAGAAAGTAACGATGAAACGTGAAGAGAAGAGATGTAGAATAAAAAAGATAGACGTGAGCTTAATGAGATGCATGGATCGCGATCGAGCAACGAATAAAACCAAAGTAATTTGATATTTGAAAAGATTATTTTTCATATATCGTTAATAGAAATATAAGTATACTGAGACTCTCGCGTATTATGTTCCTCGGGAATACGCTTCTCCTCTAATCAAGCAATTATGATCAAAGTATTAATTTATATCTTTCGTATTTATACTTATTTTTTTTTAATTTGATTTGCAAAAAAAAGAAGAAGAACTTTATCATATCGTAGATATAATGTTATATAAAATATTGATCGAAAAGGATGAATTTTATATGGAGGATGTGTTTCGAAATACGTGGATATAATTTCAGGAATGATTTCAGGTTGTTGTAGGGATAGAAATAAGGTTATATCAGACACGTATGATTTTATCAAATTTTTTTCTTATTTTATTGTACCGAAACCATCGTATTTTGAAACACTCTCTATATGTGAATATGTATTCGTTTATATATATATCGCGAATATGAAGAATATTTATTTATTTATAATGTAAGAAAATAATAACTGTCCGAAATTTAACGAATATGTATTCGATATTCATCCTTTCATATATACACGCGTTTAATAATTATGAAAAATACTTTATCAATATTTTTTTGAACTGGAGAAAATAATCAACAATACATTTGGATATTTTTCTTCATTCATGTATTTTTATTTGCGCGCGTGTCTGTGTGTCTGTGGTTTTTTTTAATGAATTGCTTTTACGTTTTGTATACGCGAATAAAACAGAGTTGCATCGTGCATGAAATCGCAAACGTGTTTACGTTTCTAACACGTATATACATATATATGCCTATACATGTATGTACATGTATGTATTTATACATACATACATGCATTTTCGAGTGATCGAACTTCGTAGGTTTGATAGTGGCTATTTGACAGAATTTGTGGGCGGAATAATAATTCGTTCGAGAAGAGTCGCGAACTGAGTGTTTCTGTTATCGTAGGTAGAAGTGCGTTTGTGTGTGTGTGTTGCGGTAGATATATATGAACGATATATTGAGATTTAATTTCACAGGAGGATGAATTCGTTTTTCCGCATTCCTTTACTATATCTCTCTCTCTCTCTCTCTGTCTCTCTTTTTCTATTTATTTTTTTTCACTTTTCGATTCGTTTCTACGATAACTATATTTCTACATATAGTCTTATGCAAA